AGTCATCTGATATCCGCACTGTGTATGATGTGGATCACGCCACTTTATTGGGAAAAGGCGGCTTCTCTCAAGTTGTGGCTGTTTTGCATAAACCCACAAATACCATGCGAGCGTTGAAAGTAATGCAGCGGGATAAACTCCGTGGAAAAGCCGGGGATATGGTTTTACATGAACGTGAGATCTTAAGAAGAACCTCTCACCCTAATGTTATTACATTATATGAATCTATTACCACTCCACATCATGTTTACTTTGCATTGGATTGTATGAGTGGAGATTTGTTTGAGTTTATTGTGCGGAATAAACGAATTCCAGAGGATGTGGCTCGATCTATTATGCATCAACTCTTATCGGCCATTCACTATTTACATGCACAATGTATTGTTCATCGAGATATTAAACCAGAGAATATACTCCTGAACGTCACGGCTGTTAATCCCACTAATAATAATACTACTACTACTAATCCCAATAATAATACTAATCCCAATAATAATAATAATAATAATAATAATAATAATAATAATACTAATAATAATAATAATGTGAATACGGAATCTACGGTTCCCCAAGTACATGTGGAGGTAAAACTCGCAGACTTTGGACTTGCCAAATTAGTGCAGGACTCCAATGTACAATCCACTCCATGTGGAACTTCCTTCTATATTGCCCCGGAAGTCATTCGCGGCATTGAGGCACAAGGGGCCAAACCCTTATGCACCACCCAAGACCGTGTGAAGAGTGTCGATATCTGGTCGGCGGGGGTTGTTTTCTTTGTGATGTTGGCTGGCCGGCCGCCTTTCTATGGACAAGTGAAAACCACAGAAGAGCGGCGGCAATTACTGCAGAGTATTGACCACGGGGTGTTGTTTAATGCCCGGCATGGATGGGATGCGGTGAGTGCGGCCGCGAAGGATTTAATTGTGCGGATGTTGGAACAAAACACCGGCACGCGATTAACGGCATTGCAGGCATTACAACATCCATTCTTTACACAACATGGATTGATGCCGCCAACAACACCCATGATGATGATGATGATGCCAACAATGGTGAATAATAATAATAATAATAATGTTAATAATAATAATAATAATAAGGGTTTACCAACATCATCTCAACAAGAGAATTTGCATGGATTGGTGATAAATGAGAAGGAAGGAGAAAGAGAAAGAGGAGGAGAAGGAGAAGGAGAACCCATCATTGAGAAGAAGCGAGGGAAGTTTTGGAATATGTTTGGTAGTAAATTCCATCGACATGGTGAAAAGAAAAAGAAGAATAATATTAATAATAATAATAATGATAATACTGCTAATAATAATAATAATAATAATAATCCACACGATATCACGAAAGAAGAAGATGTCCAATCATCCACTACCACTAATAATAAGAATACACATACTACAATGCC